AGAACTGCTGTACATCTGTGTTGCATGGAGTCCCCCAACTTCTGGCCCCTGTGATCAGGTATTCCAGCCCAGGATGATTGGACCACATTCCACAGTTCTTCTCTATTTCTTGGTTTTGCCTCAGAAACGGCATTTTTGATGTCACCCCACAAGTTTTCTATTGGATGAAGATCCGGGGATTGGGCTGGCCACTCCATAACGTCCATCTTGTTGGTCTGGAACCAAGATGTTGCACGTTTACTGGTGTGTTTGGGGTCGTTGTCTTGTTGGAACCCCCATTTCAAGGGCATTTCCTCTTCAGCATAAGGCAGTATGACCTCTTCAAGTATTCTGATGGATTCAAACTGATCCATGATCCCTGGTATGCGATAAATAGGCCCAACACCGTAGTATGAGAAACATCCCCATATCATGATGCTTGCACCACCACCATGCTTCACGGTCTTCACAGTGTACTGTGGCTTGAATTCAGTGTTTGGGGGTCGTCTGACAAACTGTCTCCGCCCACTAACCCAAAAAACAACAATCTTACTTTCATCAGTCCACAAAATGTTGCGCCGTTTCTCTTTAGGCCGGTCAATGTGCTCTTTGGCAGATTGTAACCTCTTCAGCACACGTCTTTTTCCCAACAGTGGGACTTTGCGGGGACTTCTTGCAGATAGCTTGGCTTCACATCGGCGTCTTCTAATTGTAACAGTCCTCACAGGGAACGTCACACCTTCTTTCATCTTCCTGGAGCTGATTGTTGGCTGAGTCCACGCCATGTTGGCTATTCTTCTATCCATTCCAATGGTAGTTTTTCGCTTTCTTCCGTGTCTTTCAGGTTTTGGTTGCCATTTTAAAGCATTTGCCATCATTTTAGCTGAGCAGCCGATCATTTTCTGCCACTTCTTTATATGTTTTCTCCCTCCAATCAACTTTTTAATCGCGGTACGCTGTTTCTTCTGAACAATGTCTGGAACGACCCATTTTCCTCAGAATTTCAGAGAGAAATGCACTGTAACCAGCATGTACAACATTTGCTGCCTTCCTTCCTTAAATAAGGGTACTGATGGGGACCCTGATGTGAGGGGGAATTCTGATGGGGGCCCTGATGTAGGGGGGGGCTCTTGAGGGGATTCTGATGTAGAGGTGGGAACTGATGGGACCCTGATGTAAGGGGGGGGGGCTTCTGAGGGGGATTCTGATGTAGAGGGGGGCACTGATGAGGACCCTGATGTAAGGGGGAATTCTGAGGGGGACCCTGATGTAAAGGGGGGGCTCTTAAGGGGATTCAGATGTAGAGGTGGGCACTGATGGGGACCCTGATGTAAGGTGGGACTCTTAAGGAGATTCTGATGTAGAGGTGGGCACTAATGGGGACTCTGATGTAAGGGAGGGGGCTCTTGGGGGATTCTGATGTAGAAGTGGGCACAGATAGGGACCCTGATGTAAGGGGGAATTCTGATGGGGGCCCTGATGTAATGGGGGGCTCTTAAGGGGATTCTGATGTAGAGGTGGGCACTGATGGGGACCCTGATGTAAGGGGGGGGCTCTTAAAGGGATTTTGATGTAGAGGTGGTCACTGATTTGGACCCTGATGTAAGGGGGGGCTCTTAAGGGGATTCTGATGTAGAGATGGGCACTGATGGGGACCCTGATGTAAGGGGGGAGGCTCTTAAGGGGATTCTGATGTAGAGGATGGGCACTGATGGGGACCCTGATGTAAGGGGGGGGGGCTCTTAAAGGTATTTTGATGTAGAGGTGGTCACTGATTTGGACCCTGATGTAAGGGGGGACTCTTAAGGGGAATCTAATGTTGAGGTGGGCACTGATAGGGATCCAGGGGGATTCTGAGGGACCCTGATGTAAGGGGGTATTCTGATGGGGTCCCTGATTTAAGGGGGGGGGGGCTTTTAAGGAGATTCTGATGTAGAGGTGGGAACTGATGTGAAGGAGGACTCCTTTGTTCAGAAAACTATATTTCTTCTTCAGCCTGTGAACATTTGTAAATACACCATGTGGCCCTCGTACTGAAAAGTGTGGAGACCCCTGATCTAGAGTGCCCCAGGAGCCCCAATCAAACTTGCTGCATGGCAGCGCCACCTTCTACATGGGCCAATAGCGAGACTCAGGAGGGAGCAAGCCCCTTAGATGAGATTGGAATTCGCACATTGAGGGCCCTGGGTTCTGGGGCCCTCCAGGACCCTCCAGGGCCCCCTCCACGTCTTTGTCATAAGATGCCTCCTCCACCCTCCCAGCGTCTATCCTCTGGGCTGAGATTGCAGTTCCACATTAAAGGAGCGGTCCGGGGAATCCTCGTCATAAGACGATGGCGATGAATAATTGATCTCAGCGCGTTGTTACAAATGATGAGCGCGTCTCGCAGACCTCGCCTTCCATCGCCCTTCGTATTCCGCGTGGCGTACTAATGGAAACTGGCAGAGGTCGGGGGAGGCGGCGGACGCACACAAACCTCGCATGTTTATCTGTCTTATCATTTCCTTCTCCATAACAGGACTAATTAATCACGTTGGGTTTATTTTTCCTTATCGGTTTTATAAACCGCCAAACGTAATTGAGGGAACGCGTGACACCTGTTTTGATGCTGGAAAAGGTCAAGCGGGAATCTCGTGAATCTGTTATGTTTCTATGGATCTGTTTATTCGAGGCGACACCGCTGGAGCAAAGACGAAAGTCGCCATCCTGGGGTGATGGGAAGGTGTCATATTTCCGGGGAGCGACACTATTACTCTTTTTTTTTTTTTTGTACCCTTGAATGACCTATTGTGTGTTTCTAGTTTATTACTGCGGCATTTGCATGAAATCACTTTTTAGTGGTTATTTGCACACCAGGCATTGCAGTGAGCGCTCTTGCTGAATGACTGCTGAGTAGGGGCGGACTCACCATTCGGAAACTCGGGCACTGCCCGAGGGCCCGGAGTCAGTAGGGGGCCCTATGAGATGCCCCTGGTACCTTTTTCATAGGATTTTTTGAGTTTGGGCAAGGACACAGGGGCCCCATGATCCCCTATTGCCCGGGGGCCCCATGTGTTGTCAGTCCGCCCCTGGTAGCCACCCCCACCTTCCATCATGGTTTAATATGGTGCACGTACGTATGTTCCACCTTCTCCCCAGACAAGAGAAAGCCAAGCTTCCAACATACTGGAATTTATCTACTTTTTTGTTTTTCCAAGTTTCTCCAAGGCTCGAGAGAATGATCGTTATTGTTCAGCTTCGAAACCCCTGCATGGAAACTTTGATTGGACCCCTGATGTAAGAGGGACTCTGATGAGGACCCTGCTATAAGGAGGAATTCTGAAGGGTGCCCTGATGTGAGGAGGACTTTATGGAGATCCTGATGTAAGGGGGGCTCTGATGGGGGACCATGATATCAGGGGGGCTCTGATGGTGACCTTGATGTAAGAGGGGGATCTGATGTAAGGGGGCTCTGATGGGAACCATGATGTAAGGGGGAACTCTTTTGGGGACCCTGACGATAAGGGGGCCCTGATGAGGAACCTGATGTATAGGGGGGGGCTTTGATGTAAGGGGGAACTCTGATGGTGACCCTGATGTAAGGGGGGCTCTGATGGGGACCATGATGTAAGAGGGCTCTGATGGGGACCGTGATGTAAGGGAGGCTCTGATGTCAGGAGGCTCTGATGGGGACCATGATGTAAGGTGGAACTCTGATGGTGACCCTGATGTAGGGGGGGCTCTGATGGGGACCGTGATGTAAGAGGGGATCTGATGTAAGGGGGCTCTGATGGGAACCATGATGTAAGGGGGAACTCTTTTGGGGACCCTGACGATAAGGGGGCCCTGATGAGGAACCTGATGTATAGGGGGGCTTTGATGTAAGGGGGAACTCTGATGGTGACCCTGATGTAAGGGGGGGCTCTGATGGGGACCATGATGTAAGGGGGAACTCTGATGGCGATCCTGATGTAAGGGGGGCTCTGATGGGGACCGTGATGTAAGGGAGGCTCTGATGTCAGGGGGCTCTGATGGGGACCATGATGTAAGGTGGAACTCTGATGGTGACCCTGATGTAGGGGGGGCTCTGATGGGGACCGTGATGTAAGGGGGCTCTGATGGGGACCATGATGTAAGGGGGAACTCTGATGGTATCCCTGATGTAAGGGGGGCTCTGATGAGGATCATGATGTAAGGGAGAACTCTGATGATGACCCTGATATAAGGGAGGCTCTGATAGGGATCTTGATGTAAGGGATGCTCTGATGGGGACCTGGATGATAGGGGGGCTCTGATGGGGACTCTGATGTAAGTTGGGCTCTGATGGGGATCCTGATATAAGGGGGGCTCTGATGGGGATCTTGATGTAAGGGATGCTCTGATGGGGACCTGGATGATAGGGGGGCTCTGATGGGGACTCTGATGTAAGTTGGGCTCTGATGGGGATCCCGATGTGGAGGGGATCTTATGGGGGTATATATACTATATACAGGAGTGGATTGCAGCTCAGGTATCTCCTATTTCTAGTGCAGTGACCAGACCCGGCTCTATAGCGTTTGCAGAGCAGAGTAGGGACTGGCCAGAGAAGGATTACTTGTACTTCAATGTAAATGAACTAAAACCCCCTATTTTTGTTGTCACACCGGCTTCTGATGGCCATTCCAAAACACATGACACAGACATCGTCTGCTGTTGTCACCATCAGGAAACCCGGCTGCAAAGAAGCTGCAGGAAATCAACAGCACTGAGATGGAACAAAGGATGTTTAAAAACGTGACGTCCTCCAGCCAGGAAATTAAGTGGGCTCTAATGAATGAAAGGGGCGGGCCCAGGGACAGCGAGGCTGGGGAGAAAGGGCTAGATGATGATGGATGTCCTCCAGCCAGGAAATGAGGCGGAGCTCTATCTGACTGTCTGCAGCTTCTAATGCGCATTGTGAGAAGCTCCCAGTGTGCAGTGACATCAGAGGAAGCCATTTCAGTCCAAGGGAGGCGCTGATACATCTGTGTAAGACTGAAGGGGAGGAGCCAATACACCTGTGC